ATTTATATTGATGTTTTATATGATTACGGGATATTTTCTGGTGTTTCACCTCTTATTTTTTACGTGGCGAGGATCTTCAGCGGCGCCCACGTTTCACAGATTGTAATAGATTCTATTCAGAATTCAATGATTAGTTCATGTGCAACATACGATTACTATGTCTCTTAAAAGATCGGTAGCATATGGTCGTTTGATAATTCTGTGTGTAACTATATCTGTTGCATTCGTTACAATTCCTTTTTGTCAAAAAACTTAACTAGACATTCAATGAAATGATTGAAGCTATTTACGTTTTGCTTCCGAATAATTTTTTTCTTCTTGTAGATAAAGTATATCATCTTATGATTGTTTTTTCAATGGATAATTACTTAAACACTCCTAGTGCAGATTTATCTTTTCTTCTATGAATCACAATCTGTGACACAATTTATCAAAGCCCAAGAAACACTGCTTAAGTTTCTGTATAAACAATCAAGATTTTAACTATTTTGAAGTTGCTGTGATCACTGAATAAAAGATAAAGTGCTTATAAAGAGGAAAGTTACTAGATAAAATCTTTTTTGATGTAACATATTACTGACTAACAAGAAAGAAAAATACTCCCTTCCAGCTGGTATTTTGATAAGTTTCATATGTGACAGTGTAAAAATTAAACTTATTTAAAAAAAAAACAGTTACATCAACTTTAAATAGTAACCTGGTATAACCTCCAGTGTTAGTCGTGTTATTTTGCTTGTAGTGCCTGATAATTGAGATTCAGAATGTAAGTTATAAATAATTAGCTTGTTTTAAACTGTTAAATTTTTGGATGGGAAAGTTAATTTCTAGCCTTGATTTAAGTGATAACAATTCTAATAAAGTTTTCAAATTCATTATAGAGCAAATTTCAAAACAAATGGGCCAACAGTAGGTTTACAATATTTATGTTTTATTTAAAAGTCATCCAAACCCACCCAAGCGCAGAAAGTATTGATCTATTTTCGATATTTATATGCTCATATGCACTGGTAATTTTAAAAGTATTTGTTTTGCTTTCCATACTTATATGTTCAAATGCATTGATAATTTTCTTGAAATAATCATAGATTATATATTGTTGACACTGTTTTTATTTATATTGATGTTTTATATGATTACGGGATATTTTCTGGTGTTTCACCTCTTATTTTTTACGTGGCGATGATCTTCAGCGGCGCCCACGTTTCACAGATTGTAATAGATTTTATTCAGAATTCAATGATAAGTTCATGTGCAACATACGATTACTATGTCTCTTAAAAGATCGGTAGCATATGGTCGTTTGATAATTCTGTGTGTAACTATATCTGTTGCATTCGTTACAATTCCTTTTTGTCAAAAAACTTAACTTGACATTCAATGAAATGATTGAAGCTATTTACGGTTTGCTTCCGAATAATTTTTTTCTTCTTGTAGATAAAGTATATCATCTTATGATTGTTATTTCAATGGATAATAACTTAAACACTCCTAGTGCAGATTTATCTTTTCTTCTATGAATCACAATCTGTGACACAATTTATCAAAGCCCAAGAAACACTGCTTAAGTTTCTGTAAAAACAATCAAGATTTTAACTATTTTGAAGTTGCTGTGATCACTGAATAAAAGAAAAAGTGCTTATAAAGAGGAAAGTTACTAGATAAAATCTTTTTTGATGTAACATATTACTGACTAACAAGAAAGAAAAATACTTCCTTCCAGCTGGTATTTTGATAAATTTCATATGTGACAGTGTAAAAATTAAACTTATTTAAAAAAAAAACCAGTTACATCAACTTTAAATAGTAACCTGGTATAACCTCCAGTGTTAGTTTGTGTTATTTTGCTTGTAGTGCCTGATAATTGAGATTCAGAATGTAAGTTATAAATAATTAGCTTGTTTTAAACTGTTAAATTTTTGGATGGGAAAGTTAATTTCTAGCCTTGATTTAAGTGATAACAATTCTAATAAAGTTTTCAAATTCATTATAGAGCAAATTTCAAAACAAATGGGCCAACAGTAGGTTTACAATATTTATGTTTTATTTAAAAGTCATCCAAACCCACCCAAGCAGAAAGTATTGATCTATTTTCGATATTTATATGCTCATATGCACTGGTAATTTTAAAAGTATTTGTTTTGCTTTCCATACTTATATGCTCAAATGCATTGATAATTTTCTTGAAATAATCATAGATTATATATTGTTGACACTGTTTTTATTTATATTGATGTTTTATATGATTACGGGATATTTTCTGGTGTTTCACCTCTTATTTTTTACGTGGCGAGGATCTTCAGCGGCGCCCACGTTTCACAGATTGTAATAGATTCTATTCAGAATTCAATGATTAATTCATGTGCAACATACGATTACTATGTCTCTTAAAAGATCGGTAGCATATGGTCGTTTGATAATTCTGTATGTAACTATATCTGTTGCATTCGTTACAATTCCTTTTTGTCAAAAAACTTGACTAGACATTCAATGAAATGATTGAAGCTATTTACGTTTTGCTTCCGAATAATTTTTTTCTTCTTGTAGATAAAGTATATCATCTTATGATTGTTATTTCAATGGATAATAACTTAAACACTCCTAGTGCAGATTTATCTTTTCTTCTATGAATCACAATCTGTGACACAATTTATCAAAGCCCAAGAAACACTGCTTAAGTTTCTGTATAGACAATCAAGATTTTTCTAAATATACAAATGGAAATTACCCACTTGAACTCATTACACAGCAAACATTAACATTCTCTTTTAAATCTAGATATTAAAATTTCTCATTTGTCTCTGATATCACATATATATATAAGTTTTTACTCTACTGTCTATTTCTAATCACCATGTAGGCATCGAGTCTCTAATCTTACGATTGATTGTTTCTGTCTTTCTGTATAGTTTGTTCTGGGAAGTAGAGTTACCGATACAAGAGGACGTCTGCCTGGTCTCGTTATGACTAGATGCATGGAAATTTTCTTTGAAGTAGAGTTACCGATATAAGAGGATGTCTGCCTGGTCTCTTTATGACTAGATGCATGGACATTTTATTTGAAGTAGAGTTACCGATATAAGAGGATGTCTTTCTGGACTATTTATGACTAGCTACATGAACATTTTCTTTGAAGTAGAGTTACCGATATAGAGGATGTCTGCCTGGTCTCTTTATGACTAGATGCATGGGCATTTTCTTTGCAGTAGAGTTGCCGATATAAGATGATGTCTTCCTGGACTATTTATGACTAGCTGCATTGACATTTTCTTTGAAGTAGAGTTACCGATATAAGAGGATGTCTGCCTGGTCTCATTATGACTAGATGCATGGACATTTTCTTTGCAGTAGATTTGCCGATATAAGATGATGTCTTCCTGAACTATTTACAAATGTATGACTAGCTGCATTGACATTTTCTTTGAAGTAGAGTTACCGATATAAGAGGATGTCTTCCTGGTCTATTTATGACTAGCTGCGTGGAATTTATTTTGAAGTAGAGTTACCGATATACCTCATGATTTCTTAGTAGCAGGATAAATTCCTTGGACCTGCTCTTAGTAAATTCTAGCTATTTAATACAGAACATGTATATTTCTAATCATTTGGTGTCTCAAACAATTTTTAATTGCGCCAGATGAACCAAGAATATTCCCAGAGGTCGTATTTCAATGTGTTCATCTGTCATTTGGAGAATAAGGTGTTGAAAGCAGTTAATTTATTAATTTTATTGAATTTCTCTTGTTTGACACCTGTCAATTGTTGAAGACTGTAATTTGCTGGATGTTCTGTCTTTTTATGTAATTTATACTTTGTATTCTTCTATGAAATGTATATTCGAAAAAAATATTTGTTATTTGACATTACGCATACAACAATCAATCAATTAATCAACCTGTTTTGTTGTATATGAATTGGAAATTAACATAAACATGTTCCTTTAAAATCTGTCGAAATAATGTCCTTTACAATATACATATTTGTAAAATAACTGAAACTTAAATTAGATTTAGACACAATTGGTCTCGCTCCTTTTTGGATTAATGTTTATGTTATATTATTCCTCAGTTTATGTTTGTTACATTGATTTGTCGTCTTAATCGATTTGTGAGATTGGAACATTGGTAAACTGCTGTACACTAAATTTAGATCTCGAATCTCCAAATATCCATTGAGTATAAATCCAATCTGCAATAAAGATCTTTTTTGGTCCGTTGAATTTGAAAATCAAAACGCATGCAGAGGGTATTGCATATAAAGCTGTGACTATTACATTAAGATAACATCGTTTCTGTTGTTCCATTGTTTTACTCTTATAGTTGATGTGTTTCCCTCGGTTTTGGTTTGTGACCCGGTTTTTTTTTCGCTTAGTCGACTTATGACTATTGAATAGCTGTATACTACTGTTGCCTTTATTTACATCATCAAACATGCGCTTATGATGCGATAAAGCCACTTGTTCATGTTATCATGTTATGATGACATATACATAGGATTTGGTCAATTTTCAACTAGTTCTTTGCATTTATAAAAAGAGATGATGGGGGATTGATTGGTGTTTACTGTCCAATGGCCACTAGGACATGCATATCAGGATGACAACAAGTTAATGTGATATGATCACGAACACTGCTTTGTCCTAAACAGACAAGATGGGTCGGATTTTTATCATGGTAAATCAGGCCGTTAGTTTTCTCGTTTGAATTTTTTTACATTTGTCATTTCCGGGCCTTTATTTGCTGACTATGCAGTATGGGTTTTACTCATTGATAAGGCCGTACCGTGACCTATAGTTGTTAATTACTGTGTCATTTGGTCTCTTGTGGAGAGTAGTTTTATTTGCAATCATACCACATCTTTTTATTTTTATAGTTCACAGGGTAACTGTCAGCAGGAAAACATCACTCTTCCGAAACACATTATACCTTAGAGCACATCCTCTATGTGTTAGGATTACACAAATTAAAAATGGCACAAGGCTAATGTTAACAGATAACAAGAAATTCATGTTTTACATCTTTATGTAGTTTGTTTACATAATGTACTTCTACTATAACAATGAAACAATTCTTAGTTTTACACCATCCTTCTAATCAGAAGGACAAATAAACAAATATATCTACATTTTATGTGATTCCTTTATTCATTTGGGTGCACAGACAAATTTCTTTTATTCATTTGGGTGCACAGACATATAATTTTAAGTTTTTTGTATGTCCCTCTTTTCAACATGATACAAAAATTAATAATTCAAACTTAATTGTGATCCTGCTGTTCATAAACTGCTCCCCTGTCCTAAATTGTATTGGCTTTGATAGATGTACGAATCAAATTATCACCAGTCATTTTTTTTCAGCACTGCTTTTTATGATCATGGAAAATAAGACTTATTATGCCAAATTTTGTGACATAAAAATGCTAGTGCATTGTGTCCCCACGTTAGTTACAAACTTAATTTGTGGGAGGGATATGTGCAAAGAATTGAAGCACACATTCTGGTCTCAAAACTAAACAAGAAGACGTGTTTCAATGGCCAATGAGACGACTATTCATCGGAGACTAATTGACTGGGTTGTAAGCAAACAAACATGGTAACAGAACACCAAAACCATCAATGGATAATCAGTTACCCACATTAGAAAGGGGAAGAGGAAGAAAATTCTGTTCAGGGGAAATGTAAACAAATTGTGAATAAAGTGTACCTTTTATATACTATTAAACTGTTATCAAATCCCAGAGATGAATAGGGACAATGGCAGGTATAGAAAGCCACTTACTGTTCAACATGTTTCATTTTGTTCCTCTTTTGCATGAAATCTGCTTTATTTTTAGCTTTTAAAAAAGAAGTAAACACCAGGAGCTCATGTAGATAATGCAGCTTTAATGATCCATGGTCAAAATCTAATTTGTTTTTTGTCTTTGTTTTAGTGTGAACAAACACATTACGGCGGATCTGGATGATTAAGAGCCTCATTCTATATTCTTCTAATTTTGTAGACCACTTTTCCCTATTTACTATAAAAATAATGAGATGAGGTATCTTACCAATGAGACAACTATCCACCCGAGACCAAGGAATGTGGAACACAGTATTCTGTATTCTTTATATTTGTGCACCCTGCCTGAGACCAAGGAATGTGGAACACAGTATTCTGTATTCTTTATATTTGTGCACCCTGCCGGAGACCAAGGAATGTGGAACACAGTATTCTTTATATTTGTGCACCATGTTATTCTACTTTGCTAATTTTTTATCGATCCCTTATTTTCTGGGAGATATTCTCTATTCTGTTAACTTCATCCAGACCCTCATTTAGGAACATTATATTTCTGTTCATAATCATACCTAAACAGAATCTATAGTATACGGTCTGTTTGAACTAACTTGGTTTTGAACTTATTTGATTAATACTACTTAAAGTATACAACAAATGTATATATATATATATGTATAGATATATATGTTACAATTCAAAGTTCCATCAAGGAGACACACTTGAAAAAATGATACTTAGCCTTCCATTGAAGAAATTTGAGTTATATATTTCCTTTGCCACAGTGTTGGAAGGAAACGTTCACCAATTGCTAAAATTATCCAAACTGACCACTAGATACTAGCAAAAATTGTTTTCTGAACAATTTTCATGGTTTAGCCCCTGTATAGCTCATCACTATGATTTAGTAAGGACCTGTTATCAGACATTCTTCTATAGCATGTTTAAATTTGTTTAGACGAATAAGAAAATCATCCATTTTGCCCTCTAACATATCAGTCAAATGAAATAATTGAAACGAGACCAATGGAAAAAATCTATTGTTTTCTATTGGAACTAAAATAATCAAAATGCCCTTTAACCCTTACAAGGTGTTGATGTAAACCTTGTTACCAGTAAAGTATCTGAATTACAAGGTGTTGATGTAAACCTTGTTACCAGTAAAGTATCTGAATTACAAGGTGTTGATGTAAACCTTGTTACCAGTAAAGTATATGAATTACAAGGTGTTGATGTAAACCTTGTTACCAGTAAAGTATCTGAATTACAAGGTGTTGTGATGTAAACCTTGTTACCAGTAAAGTATCTGAATTACAAGGTGTTGATGTAAACCTTGTTACCAGTAAAGTATCTGAATTACAAGGTGTTGATGTAAACCTTGTTACCAGTAAAGTATCTGAATTACAAGGTGTTGATGTAAACCTTGTTACCAGTAAAGTATCTGAATTACAAGGTGTTGATGTAAACCTTGTTACCAGTAAAGTATCTGAATTACAAGGTGTTGATGTAAACCTTGTTACCAGTAAAGTAATTGAATTACAAGGTGTTGATGTAAACCTTGTTACCAGTAAAGTATCTGAATTACAAGGTGCTGATGTAAACCTTGTTACCAGTAAAGTATCTGAATTACAAGGTGTTGATGTAAACCTTGTTACCAGTAAAGTATCTGAATTACAAGGTGTTGATGTAAACCTTGTTACCAGTAAAGTATCTGAATTACAAGGTGCTGATGTAAACCTTGTTACCAGTAAAGTATCTGAATTACAAGGTGCTGATGTAAACCTTGTTACCAGTAAAGTTACAAGGTGTTGATGTAAACCTTGTTACCAGTAAAGTATCTGAATTACAAGGTGTTGATGTAAACCTTGTTACCAGTAAAGTATCTGAATTACAAGGTGTTGATGTAAACCTTGTTACCAGTAAAGTATCTGATGCTTTGTAATCTTATCATTACCAACAGAAAATTCTGCATTGAAAGCCTAGGTAATCAAAAATAACTAGCCCATAGAGATGAAGATAGGATGAAGATTTGTTTTTCACTGAGACAGTAACCCATGGACACAAAAAGTTATCTTTAGCGATATAAATTTACTTAACTTATAATTTTTTTTGTTCGTCCATTTAGGGGGTAAATTTTTTTTTTTTACACTATTTGCAGTGTATGTGAATTTAATTGCAAGCCAGTAAATTTAAGAAAAAAATGTTTGCATGGCATGTCTGGACACAAGATAGTATTTTTTAAATCCTCTTTCTGGTCAGCATGTAAAGAATAAGCAATCATTTAAATGTAAAGAGAAAAGGGAATATGCAACATATCTCTAGTAAATGTATTTGAAGTCATGCATCACTATAACACTAAAATTTCTAATTTTCCTATTTACTCAGCACAAAACAGCAGGAAATATATATTTACAATTCATAAAAATTTCTACTGTGAATATTGCACATGACATGATGTCCTTTTGACTGACAGATTGTTTTACATGATTAATTCAAGTAAAGTACTGAACACAAAGTCTGATTAAGTATAACTCCTTTCCTGGAATGTTGATAACAATAAATTATTATTATTTTCTAGTCTTCAATCATTACATGTTTACACATAAAATATATAACAGAGTCAAACCAACATTTCAAAACTCAAAGGTGAGAGTGTATAATATTACAAAAAAGATCAAGAGGCCTTAGGGCTGTTCCATAAAAAAATACATGGGACCCAGGAAAGGCACTTAGAAATTTCATTTATGGGTGGGTATCAGTTACTTTTGTAAAGTAAAAATATAAGTGAAAATATAAAATTGCCTCCTCTATGTTTCTACCCCATTTCCATAGTATCTTCAATGGGTACCATGTGTTTTAATGAAACAGCCCTTACATTATAATTCCTGAGGTTTTCTTCTTTTTCACCACAATGATAATTTTCATGGATAATACTGAGTGGTCAGACTGGGGTATATTACCCAACAGTTAAGCCAATCAGTCAGCAAAATTGACATTTAAGTATTTCTATAGTTTTAGAGAGGAATAACTTAAGTATATAATTATTACAATGTTCTAAGGGTATTTAATAAGAGTTGAGATTCACCACTTCTTGAAAATCTTTTTTATTAAGTAATTTGATTTGATCCCTAAATTTTACCTATTGAGTGAAGAGACATTTAATTTTTTACATCTTCATCATGCATTTACATTATTATATGTTTTCATATGTACAGAAAAAAAACCATGCAGCAGATATTTTATTATTGTGCCTGTCATAACTGAAGTATTGTCATTAGTGTGTGATTTTATTCCTCCATTTAATATTTAATGTCAAAGATCAGCTCTGTTTTAACAAACATTTAAAAAATTATTGCTAAATGTACAATGATTGTCAACATTCTGAACAGTATGAACCAAAATCCTATTTTTAACTAGTTTTGTATATGTGTTTCCATGAAAACTAAAAATAACATTTTGTGACTGATTTAACAATTAATACATGTGAAAATATACAAACTGTGAAAATCAATTTTATAAAAAAAAAAACAGGTCAACATAAAACATCCAACCATAATTTTCCATGCAATTTTAATGTGACTGTGCTACTGAATGACAATAACTTATCAATATTTTACAACTATCTTGATAAATCCACCTGATGTTCTTACATTTAAGACAGTTGGCTGGGTTAGCATTTTAAATACTTATATTCATCCACCTCAGGCGCCTGAGGTACTTAAATTTTCAAAATTTAAAACACTAAACTGGCCATGTGATTTAAATTTTGATATTAAACTGTCGAAGGATATATATGAAACACAAAATAAAGAAATCCGATTCATGAATGAAATTTAATAATTTAACTTTGACATTTTTTCTGCTGATCTGTAAAAATTGTGTTCTATATGATGTCATCAAGATCCATAACAAGATCAAGAAACATAATAGGAAAACCAGAGATCGTCACAAAATGTGACTTCATATTTGACCTATTACCAATGAAGAACACAGATAATCATAATGTACTTGAAACACAATTAAATAGTATATGATGAAAAGTTTTCTATGGCTAAAATCACAGGAATACATTTTCTTTGGAGATTTCAAAATGTATGAAAATATTTATAAAAGTCAAATGTGTTACAACAGGTGAATTATTGATTGATTTTGTTGTTTACAGTGCATTCTACAGAAGTTTCCTAAATAAATAAGCTGATGTTTTTCATTTCTGTATCTTGTGATTTAGCAATACAACTATAAATCTCCATGTTGAGAGTTGCAGAGATTTGTATAACTACTTTTCAATCACTTTCTTATTAAAACATAAAAAATAGAAATAGATTTTATTGAATAAAAAAATCCCTGTTACAAACATATATATTTTTGAGATTCAATCCTTATTTGTAGAATTTTTATTTGTGGAGAAATATATTGTGTCATAGTTAAATAAAAGACCAACAATGTCCAATATTTTTTCCAAAGGTATCAATGCCATTAAAGACTATCAGAGAAAGTTCTTCATGCCATTAAAGACTATCAGTGAAAGTTCTTCATGCCATTAAAGACTGAAAGTTCTCCATGCCATGAAAGACTATCAGTGAAAGTTCTTCATGCCATTAAAGACTATCAGTGAAAGTTCTCCATGCCATTAAAGACTATCAGTGAAAGTTCTCCATGCCATTAAAGACTGAAAGTTCTCCAAGCCATTAAAGACTATCGGTGAAAGTTCTGATGTGGTATATTCAGTGTACACAAATATTAAATAATTAATACAAACTTAGATTTCCAACTATCGCCATAAATGATATAAACTGGTTCCAGCTGGAGCTTTTATTATTAAATTGGTTCCAGTATAATTTCAGGATTCCAAAAATTATGATTGTTTAAAAAATATTTTTTCAATGTTAACTGCGTCATAAACATCTGATAACCCCAAAAAAATCTTTTATATATATGTCCCAATAACCACAACTCACTCTTAAAAGCAAAAGCAGCAAATAATTTTCTTGATTGGATATTGTTTTTTTACCTTATCATAATAGAGGGGCCTGATGGGGGGGTCTCATCACGATTCACGAGTTGATTTTTTTGTCAATCACGATTCACAGAAAATAAATTTCCATGATCACGGATCACGAAAATATAAAAAAAAAAATCTGTAGAAAAACGGATCACGATAGCGAAAATGCACCGATCACGAAGAACGAAAATAACCCATCAGGCCCCTCATAAAAGCCTGTGTAAAGTGACTCAACCTTATGACTTATTCTACAAACCAAATGTACACTTAATGCCTACACTATACAATCAACAATAAAATGAAAAACTTCAAAAATTATCTTCAAAAGTTACCAGTACCACACTTCACTAGTTTGTAAAATGTTTTTTTTTCTTCTTGAAGCACTTGCAAAAAATACAAGCATTGTATATTACTTAATGAGACAGAACTTTTACATACCCTGAAGCAGATAGCACTAACAATCTAAAACACAGAAAATGGAATTGATAGGTTTCCTCCCATATGACCATCATCGTTGTAGAATCATAACATTACTGCTAGCATTTAATTAGACAAGTCATGCCAGGTTAAAAAAATTAACTAAATTACCTAGACTATGTTACACTGAGGAATCATTATCATTCGTAGGGTACTATTTTTATTTTTCATTTTTTGTTTATAGGTGAATTGCAAATTAAAATGTTAAATTACAACTAAAATATTAATTACCTTTAGACATATGTGCAGAATTTGTTAAAACAATGAAATATAAAGTATCCACGAAAATAAAAAAGTTCCTCAATCAACGAAATTAGGCGACCAATTAAAAAATACACAAACCAACATTTAGTAGTTGTATAATCTCCATTGATATATGAACACTGGAAAAGATAGCAGATATAAGTGAAATGAAATAAAATTCAGTTCACCATATACTTAAATGTACAGCACTTACTAATGACAAAATAACAAAAAGTCAGTTTCAGGTCAAATTTGTAACTATATCAAATGATCTATAAATAAATACATACTGTAAGATTTTTATCATTTCTTTCTCTTGAGTACACAGTTCTTTGTGTAATATAAAGTGATAAAATCTGGAATAACCACCAAAATAACTTAATCAATTCGGATTATAAGAATTTTCAACGAATCACTTTTTGTGAGACCTAATTAAATGCTAGCACCTGATACGACCTTCATCTACTTTACGAGGACCCAGAAGTATTTGAAGGCCCATAATACAATGATACATGTTCCTAGCACTTCATACAACATTCATATACTTTTAAAGGACCCAGAAGTATATGAAGGCCCTTGATACAATGATACATGTTCCTAGCACTTGATATGGCCTTCGTTTACTTTTTTAGAGGACCCAGAAGTATATGAAGGCCCTTGATACAATGATACATGTTCCTAGCACTTGATATGGTCTTCATTTACTTTAGGAGGACCCAGAAGTATATGAAGGCCCTTGATACAATGATACATGTTCTTAGCACTTGATATGACCTTCGTTTACTTTTAAGGGAACCCGGAAGTATATCAAAGGCCCTTGATACAATGATACATTTTCAAAGATGAAATCAACAAAAAACAAATGAAAAGATGATAACAAATTATGTAAAAATAAATTATTTTTTCCTATTTTTCTTCCCTGGATCGGGTGGTTGTTTTGGTGCTTGAGTCCTTTGTTCGTCTAATCTACTGGATTGTACTTTCTGTATTAAACTGAAAAAGTCTTCATCTGGTACTGTAGGAGCTGGCCTTGAAACAGGGATTGAGCTTCTCTGATCCTCCATTCTGGTTCCCTGTAAAGAAACATGTTAGTGCATAATATATCATAACCAGCAAGAAACAAAAGTGTAACCGTATTAAGTAAATTTTTTTATATTAAAATGTTTTCAGGCAGGACAATTGTAATGTTGTTATATATTATTATACAATTATTGACTTTTGATGAGGTTGATACAATGATTTATCAAACCCAGAGATATCATTTCCATAAAGGCCAATGGCCGAGGGTGAATGTCTTATAAATGGGATTGATAAATCTAGTATAACTGACATCAAAAGTCAACAATTGTTTTATTACATTACTTTTTTTTCAATCTCCAATTTCTAGTATTTCCTCAAAATATTAACTGCTCCTTTTATACTAAAAATATTATCTGCTTTGACAGTTGCTAAACCTTTTAGAAGTTGAAATGTTTAATAAGGTTAATTAAAATAAAAATGAGAATGTGCATGAAGTAATGAGCCTACATTATTGACATTGCCAAGGGAAAAACCTATTTATAGGTACATGTTAGCTGTTCGAGTTAATATATCCTTTTATCAAAGAGATTACCTACATGTTTAGCCAATTAGAAAAGAGAATTTTTATATTCATATAACAAAATGGAATAATACGTTCATTATTGAAAGAGGATAAACACAGTCAGATACAAAACTTATCATCCCTGAAGCCCTCATGTATAAATAAATACAAGCAAAAATAGAGGTTTACAAATACTTAATTATCAATCATATATCATAATAATACTTTGTTTGGAAGTAAGTGTTTTACACTTTCCACGTTTTGTATGGTAGTCCAGTCCATCACTGAGCATCACATTAACATTTGTGAGAGGAACATTTTAAATTCCTAACTTTGTGGCTATACATGTATCTGACATAACATTAACATTTTTTCAAGTTTCTTTTTTTTAATTCTTAATTTAAAAACTTAAATTTACCTCATATTGCATTAACATTTCTGAAAGGTTCCTTTTAATCTGAATTCTTATTTTGTGACTACAATTTACCTGAAATTGCATTAACATTTCTGAAAGGTTACAATCTGTTTTAAATTCTTAATTTATGACTATAATTTATCAGACATCACATTTACATTTCCAAAAGATCTTTTTATTCTTAATTTATGACTTAAATTTACCTGATATCACATTAACAATTCCAAAAGGTGCCGTTTTATTTTGAATTCTTAATTAATGACTTAAATTTACCTGACATCGCATTAACATTTCAAAGAAGTTATCATCTGGGACATTTTCTTCTTTCTGTTGTAGAATTTGATCAATCACATCCTGAGAATTTAATCCTGGGAATCGTAAATCTGCTCGCTGATCATCCATTCGAGAACTCTGGATACCAGCTACCATATCTAAAAACTCTTGAGCACCAGGTGAGGACACTATAAACATAGTAAATAAAAAAGGTTTACAAAAATCTATCTATAAACCATTTTCTAAGAAGTAACTTCATTTTTCAGTCTGGAAAGCTTTCTATCCTGTATTGTTCATTCTTATCAAATATTAATTTAAGAATTACATTTTAAAAGTAATTCATTTTTTTATTAGGAAAAGTTTCTATCCTGTAATTTACAGTTTTATAAAATAGTTGTTTTATTACTAAATTTTAGATTTTATTTCTATTTTGTTTTAATAAAAAAATATTTTTTTACAATACACCTTATCACTAATTGTCGGCCATTACTGGTCATCACAAAGGTTCCCTTTAAATTTTGATGTCACAATAGAAAACGTCTGACACCACAAAGGAAAATTGATTGTTGTACGAGGTTAATAGTTCAAGTGTCAAAGATTCTTGGGTCAAGTGTCGCAGATTCTCAAATATCGATAAGGTCTATTATAGTATCTTAGGTGTATTCTAATATTTTATTCATCAACACTAAGAAAGTGTCATTCCACCAATTCATCACATGACTTTGAGAGCAAATGTATGTAAAAGCAGTCCTACTCTGACAAAATAAAAGAAGTATGTGATTGAGGACATAAATGCCCCTGCTCAAGCTTTGCAATTTTTCAAGTTAATAAAATGCTTCGCTGGGGCACAGCTTGATACGACCGCAGAGGTCGAACCCTGAACAGTTGGGGCAAGTATGGACACAACATTCAAGCTTGATACAGCTCTGAATTTGGATTGTTATTAAATATTTGAAACAGCATAGGTTTCTGACACAGAAAGAATGTGGTCTAAGAACTTGAATTTTTTTAATTTACCTATTATGGTCCAATGTCCAAAATCAAAATACATGGTTAGATTCAGCATATCAAAGAACCCCATATATTCAATTTTTGTTAAAATCAAACAAAGTTTAATTTTGGACCCCAACTTGGACAAACTTGAAAACTGGGCCCATAATCAAAAATCTAAACACATGTTTAAATCCAGCATATCAAAGAACCCCAAGAATTCAATTTTTGCTAAAACAAACTAAGTTTAATTTTGGACCCTTTAGACTTTAATGTAGACCAATTTAAAAAACGGGACTTAAAATTAAAAATCTAAATACACGGTTAGATTTGGAATATCAAAGAACCCCAATAATTCAATTTTTGATGAAATCAAACAAAGTTTAATTTTGGACCCTTTTGACCTCAATATGAACCAATTTGATAGCGGGGCCCACAAATAAAAAATCTAAATTCATGGTAAGATTCAGCATATCAAAGAACCCCATATATTCAATTTTTGTTGAAATCAAAAAAAGTTTAATTTTGGACCCCAACTTGGACCAACTTGAAAACTGGGCCCATAATCAAAAATCTAAACACATGTTTAGATTCAGCATATCAAAGAACCCAAAGAATTCAATTTTTGTTAAAATCAAACTAAGTTTAATTTTGGACCCTTTGGACCTCAATGAAGACCAATTTAAATAAACTGCTTCGCTGAGCGCAGCTGGATACGCCCGCAGAGGTCTAACCCTGAACAGTTGGGGCAAAAATGGACACAATATTCAAGCTTGATACAGGTTTGAATTTGGATTGTAATTAAATATTTGACATACATCTATCATAGGTTTCTGAATAAATGTAGTCAAAGAACTTGAAGTTGGTTAGATGAATTGAATTTATATTCAATTAAAGATTTCTTGCTGTTGTGCAATACACTGTGCTGTTGCGCAATACTTAGTAAATCTGTTGTCAGACTATAAACAAATAAAATTTATAAAATTCTAAAGGGAGCTTACATCAATAGATATAAACAGTTCACCAAAGTTTCATACGAATTGCTGAAAGCATTTTTGAGTTTTTGTCTGAAAACTGGAAAATCCCCCCTTTTTTAATGAATAAACCCCATAATTCAGAAATGTAAAATCTAAAATTTATAAAATTCTAAAGGGAGCTTACATCAATAGATATCAACGTTTCATCAAAGTTTCATGAGAACTGCTGAAAGCATTTTTGAGTTATTGTCCCAAAACTGGAAAATCCCCCTTTTTTTTATAAATAAAACCCCATAACTCGGAAACGTAAAATCTAAAATTTATAAAAATCCAAAGGGAGCTCATGTCAATAGATATAAACAATTAACCAAAATTTCTTGCAAGTTGGTGAAAGCATTCTCGAGTTATTGTCGGAAAACTGGAAAATCCCCCATTTTTTAATGAATAAAACCCCATAACACGTAAAATCTAAAATTTATAAAAAACGAAAGGGAGCTCATGTCAATAGATATAAACAATTCACCAAAGTTTTAAGCAAATTGGTTAAAGCGTTTTTGAGTTAATGTCCGACATGTTGACGACGGACAGACGGACGGACGGACGGACAGACGGACGTACAACAGTATACCATAATACGTCCCGTAAACGGGCGTATAAAAACGGGACCCAAATTAAACATCTAAAAACATGGTTAGATTTGGCATATCAAAGAACCCCAATAATTCAATTTTTGATGAAATCAAACAAAGTTTAATTTTGGACCCTTTTGACCTCAATATGAACCAATTTGATAGCGGGGCCTACAAATAAAAAATCTAAATACATGGTTAGATTCAGCATATCAAAGAACCTAATATATTCAATTTTTGTTGAAATCAAACAAAGTTTAATTTTGGACCCCAATTTGGACCAACTTGAAAACTGGGCCCATAATCAAAAATCTAAATACATGTTTAGATTCAGCATATCAAAGAACCCCATATATTCAATTTTTGTTGAAATCAAACAAAGTTTAAATACTGGACCCTATCTTGGACCAACTTGAAAACTGGGCCCATAATCAAATATTTAAACACATGTTTAGATTCAGCATATCAAAGAACCCCAAGAATTCAATTTTTGTTAAAATCAAACTAAGTTTAATTTTGGACCCTTTGGACCTTAATGTAGACCAATTTAAAAAACAGGACCCAAAATTAAAAATCTAAATACACGGTTAGATTTGGAATATCAAAGAGCCCCAATAATTCAATTTTAGATGAAATCAAACAAAGTTTAATTTTGGACCCTTTTGACCTCAATATGAACCAATTTGATAACGGGGTCCACAAATAAAAAATCTAAATACATGGTTAGATTCAGCATATCAAAGAACCCCATATATTCAATTTTTGTTGAAATCAAACAAAGTTTAATTTTGGACCCCAATTTGGACCAACTTGAAAACTGGGCCAAAAATCAAAAATCTAAATACATGTTTAGATTCAGCATATCAAAGAACCTCATATATTCAATTTTTGCTAAAATCAAACAAAGTTTGATTTTGGACCCTTTGGACCTTAATGTAGACTATTTTGAAAACTGGACCCAAAATTAAAAATCTAAATACACTGTTAGATTCGGCATAACAAATAAATAAATGTGATCAAAGATTTAACAAATCTAATGCGCCATACTGTGCAATTAAAGATTATTTCTTGAAATTTTTCAATATTTGAAATTTGAAAAAAAAAAAATATTTGAAGAATAATTCTTTTTAATTTCTGAAATCTGAAATGAGAAAAAATTGACCCCCCACAATTTCTTTTTATCCCCCCCCCTTTTTTCCCCAAAAAAATTCTTTCCCTCAAGATATGGTGATAATCTCAATTCAAATTTCCAATGGAGTTGGCAACCATAATTACCCATTTAAATTTACCATAGTGCTAACTTAATCTATTTTATAATAGAATTAAAAATATAGTGTCAAATCTTTCATATGGATTTTTTTGTAAAAAAAAATGATGCAACATTTGCAGATATTTTTACTGGTCTTCCTTTATAAATATGCATTTCTTTAAACATAATTCAAAAGCAGTGTAAGGGAAGTAACCAAAACGTTGTATTTGGATTACCTCCCTTACACTGTTTTAAATTATCTTTATTGTTCATTAACCATTACTTTATACATAATTTAAAAGCAGTGTAAGGGAGATAAGATGATTTATCTCCCTTACACTGCTTTAAATTATGTTTTGTACTAAAGTATTTGTCCATTAACCAGGACAACCTTGTTTTTCCCCCTTTTTTGCCCCTAATTCCTAAACGGTTTGAGCCATAACCCCCCAAAGCAAATCCTAACCATCCCTTTGTGGTATGGAAACTTGTAGTATAATTTCAGAGAGATCCATACACCGTTCCACAGTTATTGTCTGGAAACTAGAAAATGCTTATTTTTGGCCCCTTTTTGGCCCCTAATTCCTTAACTGTTGGTACCATAACCCCCAAAATCAATCCCAACCTTCCTTTTGTGGTATTCAACCTTATGGTAAAATTTCAAAAAGATCCATTCACTTAAACTTAAGTTAGAGTGCGAAAACCAATGTGTCTTCGGACGACGACGACGACGCCAACGTCATACCAATATACGACCACAAAATTTTTTTGCGGTCGTATAAAAAGGAGCATACCTCTAAATAACTCACTGCCCAAATTTAAACTCTGTGTACTGTGGTTCTAAGCATTCTGCATGAGTTTCATAAAATTTGGTTGAGACAAACTTATGAAAATTGGTTAGGGTGCGGAAACTGAAAAATTAGCAATTTTCCAAATTTTAAAGGGGCATAACTCTGGTACAATTAACAACCTACCGCCTAAATTCAAACTCTGTCTGTGTGTTGTGGTTCTCAGCATTGTGTATGAGTTTCATAAAATTTTGATGAGGAAAACTTAACTTAGCGTGCAGAAACGAGAAAACAGGACAGATGGACAGTGAAGGGAAACACTTGATGCCTCTGGTGCCTGGTGTTTACTTAAATTAGTCAATGAATTTATATGAATGATGAAACTTTTGCTGAAATAGAAATATAGTTTGACCCAAAAATTACTTGTGCATGAATTTACATTACAATTTTAGTGTAGATGTGGTACATAGTATGCTTATTAAGATTTTCGGAAAACTAGAGTGCTATTTTTAGAAATAGGTTACTTCCATAACGTCATGTCTCGCTACAAGACTTTCAACATTGATTGAAAATTTGCACAGAGAGGTATACAATTCAGGATATGTACATGTTTCTTATGAAGTTATTAAGTAAAAGTATTTAGAGAGCTGTGAAAATTGAAAAAAAAATGATTGAATATATGGGGATCTGAATAGGTGGTGTGACACCTGATAACATAACTAGGGCATACACAAATCAATTAAAATGCCCAAAGCAAGGGTCAAACTGACCACAGCTGATAGGCTGCTGTTTAAATTGTGTATATGTGGCTAGGTGCCTTTATCACTATTTGGTCATTGGACAGTACCTTGCTAAAATTAGCATCTCAATAAATGCTGTGAAATATCAATGTGAAACTACTGTGAAGTTGATTTCAGGACATACTTCTACATTTAATGTGAACACGAGTTCAAGTGTTAAGGATGCGTGGTTTTACATCAATTACTAGTAAATAATGCACTGAATTTGAGTGACATCTAAATGTAACAGCTATTTTTACCTTTTAGTTTTCTTATCAGTTCTAACATTTCTATTCAAGAAATATAAAAAAAAAAATAATCATTTGAATGTCAAGGAGTAATGATTACAATAGTCATTATCTAGACACGTGAAACAAAATTGTATTCTAAAAAAAAATCAAAATCATTTTGTATTTTCAACTATACACTGCTGTAAATTCAGAAAGTAATGCATGCATTTATCATTGTGAATCACTGATTACTGGTAAAAATGAAAGATCTAATTAATGTGATTGCAAAGATTTATGAAGGAAGATCACTACTGAAATTATGAATGGGAGTTTTTATTATTGTGAACCTGACATTGTTACATTTCTCACATCAATAAAAAAATGGCAATAATTTCTGAATTTACAGAATGTTTAAGTTGTTTTCTACTGGTACAAAATCATTCCTGTAAGATTAATATAATGTCATTGGACGAATACTGTCATGTAAATGATAAATGAATTGGATATTTTTAACAAAAATATAAATAAGTGGCTAACAACCCTATTTGTCCCCCCTTTAGTAGTTTAAAATGAACGCAAGTAGTATGGAATTATAATTATTTACTTCTAAACATGATGATGAAGATTTATTGTATAAAACAAACACTATGTTGCAAAAGTGGAAAATAGGTAAATTCAATTAAACTGTGTGAAAGACTTTATTTACCCAGATTTGTTTTTGCTTAATCGAATTACGACTATTGAACAGTGGTATGCTACTGTTGCCTTTATTTATTCTATAAATCACAAAATAATAGATTTTTACAGAAAAAAACTGTAATTTTCTTCTATCTGCAAATGCACTTTACATTCAAGATGTGTCCAAGAATCTTATCTTAAGATGTATTTTAAGTTTTGTATATAGATCTGTTTTTTAAAACAAACAAAAACCTACTACTGTGGATTCATTTATTTTAGTGGGTACCAATTTTCGTGGATTGAGGAAAACTTGCATTTTCGTGGATATTTTATTTCGTGGTTTTGCCAAAGTCTGCATACATTCCTATAGAAGATTTGTTATGTGTTGGATATTTGAATTCGTGGTTCTTGGGTAACTACGAAATCCAGGAAAATTGGTATCCAATGAATAATAATGAATCCACAGTATATATTATCCGTTACTATTGGTCTATAATATTAATATTAGTACTAATAAGACAATACCTGTTACTATTGGTCTGTAATATTAATATTAGTACTAATAAGACAATACCTGTTACTATTGGTCTGTAATATTAATATTAGTACTAATAAGACAATACCTGTTACTATTCGTCTATAATATTAATATTAGTACTAATAAGACAATACCTGTTACTATTGGTCTGTAATATTAATATTAGTACTAATAAGACAATACCTGTTACTATTGGTCTGTAATATTAATATTAGTACTAATAAGACAATACCTGTTACTATTGGTCTATAATATCAATATTAGTACTAATAAGACAATACCTGTTACACGTTTACTATTATCTATACCAGTTCTCGGAGTAACAGGTTCTACTTGGATTGAACATCGTTGGTCATCGAGCCTTCTGCTTTGGAATTTTGACAACAAATCAAAGAAACTTTCATCATCAAAAGATACCTGAAGCAAATGAAAACTCATTAAAATAATTTACCACCTCAGATGGTCCTTTTCATTGGCCGTGGTAGTAATGGATAAAAAGCTAATGTAACATTATCTAAGCATTGATCTCATATCCATTTTTTGTAGATTGATTATTTGAATTTTGCTTGCTAACTGTCTAGCGGCAAATATTTCATGCATACTCAAATCTTGAACTCATTTATAATAAAGTCAATAGTTAAGATCTGGAAAGGTGGTGACTTCGGAATTTAGTTTCTACTGGAAAAAAGGGTACTATTAGTAAGGGCCTAAATTTTGCCTTACAACAGGCCTCCTAAAGATCCCTCAAATTGTTGTAAAAAAATGGGCAACATGTAGAGAAAGTCAAAGTGACTGTACATCAAATTCAACATCATCATTTCCCTTGGAAAGTATTTGTATCAAAGTTTTCTACAGAAAGCCTATTCTTAAACTTAATATCCAATGAATAATGCTTTACTTCAGAGTATCAAATGAACATGCTTTTGTTGAGAATTACAAAATTCTAAGTTCCACTAAAAATTTCCTTGATGTTCAACAAAAATATATATTGGTTTGTTTGTTGGTGTTTATTGCTACTTTCAGTGCCCGTAGCTATATCATGGCTATCATTGTTTGTTGGCTGTAAATATCATACATGGGCAGATGGTAAATATATCAGACATGGGCTATTTTTGTCAGATGGTAAATAAAAGACTTGTGCTATTTTTGTCAGATGGTAAATAAAAGACATTTGCTATTTTTGTCAGATGGTAAATATAAGACATGGGCTATTTTTGTCAGATGGTAAATATATCAGACATGGGCTATTTTTGTCAGATGGTAAATATAAGACATGGGCTATTTTTGTCGGATGGTAAATAAGATACATAGGCTATTTTTGTCAGATGGTAAATATAAGACATGGGCTATTTTTGTCAGATGGTAAATATCAGACATGGGCTATTTTTGTCAGATGGTAAATATCAGACATGGGCTATTTTTGTCAGATGGTAAATATCAGACATGGGCTATTTTTGTCAGATAGTAAATAAAGGACATGGGCTATTTTTGTCAGATAGTAAATATCAGACATGGGCTATTTTTGTCAGAAGGTAAATATCAGACATGGGCTATTTTTGTCAGATGGTAAATATCAGACATGGGCTATTTTTGTCAGATAGTAAATATCAGACATGGGCTATTTTTGTCAGATAGTAAATATCAGACATGGGCTATTTTTGTCAGATAACTGGGAAGCCTTACTTGTTGTATTGACTGAAGTTTCTCTTTATTTCTGTTGTTAAGTGACAAATCTGACTCAGTGGCTACACTTGCAGCCTTCTGAAATTTAGGGACTTTTGGTCTCGCTCCACCATTCATTAACTCAGCCTAAAATAGAAAATGAAGTTAGTATATGTTATTGAATAAATTTAGTAGGATGTAACTCATGATTAGGAGTTGGTTATCTTTCCATAAAATAAAGTTAAGCTGTCAAGATTTCATATATCAAAACTGTCATCATGGGAGACGTCTAAAATATAATTTGGTATATATTTTGATTCTAATTTTGAAGTACGATATGTTTTGTATTTTTACTGCAAAAGCAATTTTTGTTTTGGACATCAAATGCTATTTTCAGGTCAAAATCTAAACCTTCACAATAATTTACAATGCCTTTAAGTGCTAATGATGAAAACAAAAAATTTATTGTTGAACATAAGTATCTATCAAAAGAAAGGCTTCAAAAGACATTGTAACTTATGAGAAGGTAATATTAATCAGATTTCCAGACCAGAATATATCTAAGCCATATACAAATCTACATAAAGAAAATGTACTTGACATTTATAAAAGTATACTGGCAAAATACTCACTTTTTTGCTCTGAAAACAAAATGTAAAAAAACGTAAACCTAAGAATATTCCAATTAATGTTGGCCTAGTTGAAAATCTGGACCAAGATATTTTTTGATAAATTCAATATATTCTTAAATCTTAAAGGGGCACTAGCTGTCAAATTCATGTTCAACGATTTGACTCAAAATCTCATATTTGATTTATAACCATGTTAAACATTTATCCAAATTATAAAAAGTCTAAAATAAACAATTTACAAGGCATGGGCTAGATAATATGTAGCTTCGTTTCGTGTGTATTTTAGTCTTGATGCCATCTAATTAACTATCAAGTTGACCTCTGAAGACCTCCGATGGTCAGATAAGCAATATAAACATAAATATAGATATAAATAGAAAGCATCCACATGCAATTGGATTTTTCTAGGTCTGTTTAATTTCATATCATAGATTAAAAATATATGTTAATCATTGGTTTTTACCTGTATAAGAATGATTTTTTGTGGATCGAATGAGTCAATCAAATGATTTACCTTTGTTTCACTTTCAATGTTGACATTCTTTTCCTTTAAATAACCAAACACACACAATTCATGTGTTATCCATCTATAGCTAAGGGGTTAAATTGAAGTTCACATGAATACGGATTCAATGAGGTCGAATTATTCACTTGCAAGTGAATAATTCATTATCAATGTTTCTTAGCTTAATTTGACAAAATTTAACAATACTGGCTGCTAAAAGCGAATTACTATTTCACTATTTCACTTTCATTAATGATTGAACAAAACAAAATCATACTTTTAGATTTTTTTATATATCTCGTAGCTAGTGCCCCTTTAATTTTCCTGAGGAATCTTCAACAAACAATAACAAACCAGATTACCCCCTTTGTCTCATGTCAGACAAATATTTCAAAAGATCACAGATCTTGCAGATTTCATATGTTTGTAAGTTTTATTAAGTAAATGATTACATGGACAGTTAAATTTGTTACAGTTGTTTTTGAAATTACAAGTACTTAAAATAGTGTGCCCGTTTAATTACACCTATTAAAGTAAAAGCTTTCTAGAATCAGCATGATTTTTGTTATTAAACGCAATTCCATATCATTAAATTTAAACCACTCATAGACGAGTTCTGAAGAAATGTACATCTACAAATATGAAAATAAAGAAAAAAAATCTAAATCCCACCTTCTTGTCTGGAGTCAATTTCATCAACTCCATATTTTCCATACTGTGACGTCTAAATGGCCTTCTTGCTGTAAATATATGTATAACACTGATGTTTATCACAAGTTAAGGTCATTTCATAGTAAGCATGTAGCTTTATGTCTTCTACTTATGGTACAACTTTTCAGGGCCTATATTTTTCTGCTTTCAAAAGGGGCCACAAAAATGATCCAAGTCCCATATCTCCGTTAAAATTGTCAAATAAAACTAAGGCTATAGTATGGTCAAGTAATGGTGATAAAAAATCAAATAATTCTACCAGTTTGCAAACTTTGGGTCAAATAGTTTTTTAGCATTGAAGTAGCACAAAAATACATATTTTTACTTTTTATGTTTCTACATAGCAAATAAGTATTTTAACTTCGATAAGAGTCTAGAATGAAATAAAATAAATTTGTTCTTGCCAGAAACAGACCAACTTTCTAGAAGATTTTGGAATCTGTATATTTATCCTAAATCATACATAATGTTTAACAATAGATACTCACACAGTGGTAAATCTGTTTCATCTTTGGTTTGTAGTTTGCTGAAAAAAAAAATCATTAGGTTAATTCTCTCTTCCTTAATTTCCAATACAGGTATAAATCATGGCAAACATATTAACCAGCTTCATGACAGGCAAGTTATTGCTGTTTTACTTTAATTCATTTATTTATGGAAATTGTGTTAAAGTAAATAGACATAATCAAGATTTAAAAACTAAATGGCACTATTTAAGGACTAAAACATGTGTCTTTCTTTCATTTCTAGACATCACTCAAGTGAAGGAAAGGTCAATCAATTGCATTTAGTCCTAGAAAGGTATTATGTTGCAACTAAAAATAATTTATATATCATATAGTGGGTAGGAATATATTATTTATATATATGGTAAGTGGGTAGGAATCATTTAATTGCTTTAAATATATTTAAATATTTATGATATGAGGCGAGAGGGTATGACCCTTGCCTCAACACAGACAAAATCAATGGTGGATTGTAAAAATTGAAAAATAGCTTTAAACTGAATCCTTTCAGTAAGGTAAACACTCACATATCTTGTAAATCTGTGATACCTAAAGCTTTTTGTAAATCAACTAAATTCATTTCTGCAGTTAACTGTCCAGTTTCATCTCCTATCTACAATCATAACATCATACATAACCTTTAATTCACAAATTTGTTGTGATTATCTTTTGTTGCACTATTAATGTGACATTAATTGTATCAAAACTCATATTTTAAATTAAATATCAAAATTAATATGTCAATTACCAGAACAAATATTAATTAATTTTGTATTTTATTACCATTTGTCAATAATCTAACAAATGCATAAAAATAATTTGTGAATTTGTAGTTGTTCAGAAATGAACAAATCCAAATCACTAAAAACATTGTTTTTGCATATTTTAAAGATTTCTCTCTTTCTGAAATTAAAACAATCCAATTATTTTTTTTAGATTTTATTTTGTGGTTTCTACTTGAATGGAAACAAAACTTTTTTCCTGGTCTATGATTATGTGCAAGTCTGTACACAGCTGTTAATGATCCCAGTTTAAATTTGACTATGTTTTTTTTTGGTTCCACATTTATATGTCAGCTCGGTGTCAAATTATGACAAGAATCTTACCTCCTTTTTATCTATGAGTGTCTACTTCTGACAGGTTTTCTATCCCCTTGATAGATATTATATAAATTTCTACTTAATTCTTACCTCTCTTGATATCTGTAAGTGTTTATTTGCATATGGTAATGCCTCTTCATGGTGCCCCAATGCCTTGTGTGCATTTCCTAGACTCCAGCATGCACGACCTTCTCCTACTCTATCCTCTAACTCGCGTGCTATCTCTAAATGTCTTAAATGATATTCAATAGCTTTTTCATAGTCTCTAAGTAATGTATAAGTATTGCCTAAACTGTAACAAGCTTGGGCTTCTAAAGCTTTGTCTCCTAATTGTTTGGCTATCTGTAATGATTTCCTGAAAGATATTGAAATATTTATATTAGTTTAAACAAGTCCAATAATTTCTGAGGGCTATTCCATTAAAAAGGAGGTACTAGGGTCGGAAGGCAATTTTTAAGTACCCCCACGACCAAGAGGAATGTACCATGTATCTTAACACCAACCAACAGGAAGTCGTTTCATAATAATACAAGAACCAACTGGAATATATCTAACTTATTTTATTCTAATTTACCACAACCAAAGGAATTGTTATTTAAACATTATAGTTGCTGGACAATTTAGAGGGGGTGGACAGGGTCAAGGAGCTACAATGTTTGGTTATTACTATGATATAAAGGGCTATTTGTATCTCTTTTTTTTTTATATTGTTCAATTCATACCCGAGTATACAATTAAAGTAATAGTTCAAATTCAAAGCTGTTTAAATGTATCATATCTAGTTGCACTATTATATTAGCTCTGTAAAAATAAAGTAAGAAACTTCCAGATTTTTACTGGCCGTTCAAAATTGAGAAGAAATGACCTCTTGGAATTGTAGATATATGTATACTCTATAAAAACATCTACATGTAATATCAACATTTATTAATGATAAAGAAAATTACTGTCACATTTCATTGGATTTTGACATGAAAATTTGTGAACTAAAAGTAATTTTGAGTTTCTGTATAAAATATTTCATGCTTTTTCTTTCTTTTCCATATATCTTTTGGTTTTCAATTCTAGTGTTTATATTTCATCATCATAGATGTATTTTGTCACCTGCCTGGAATTATTATTTTTTCTATTGTATTTGATCGGCAAACCCGGAATTACCCTTATCCGACCCCGGAATCTGATCGGGTATTGTAATCGTCTTCATTTCCGGTTTATGGCATCCATTGTTTTTCAATGTTGTTTTTGTCAGTCAGATATGATTTTACTCGTATTTACACATTACTTGTTGGCAATTTTCAGTATAAAGCTAGCGGTTGAACAAACTGAGCATCGCTGTCATGAATAATAAAGATAAAAATAAATTTTGAGATCGTTTTGAAGTTTTGGTCCCAAATTCATGAAATTGAAAATTGGGAAAAACGTAGGGTATTTGCAATTGCCAATAGGAATGGATCTGGTATTTGGACCCTGTGGAATGCTAGAAAAATCCCTAGAGGGGTGTACGATCTCAATAGTAATATGGCTTTAAAATGACCATACTGATGGTTAAAAAGGTCGTCAAAGTTAATTTTTATTTTCTTTCAAATCGAAGGTCCGTTGGGCCTAGCTAGTAACCAAACGAAAGTCCGATTGCAATAGTGGAAGGTCGCGGACCTCGGACCACCGCTTATTTGAACATCCGAATATTATTTTCAATAGAATTTGACATCGTTCGCCATGTGCTTGTCATTAAAGGGAAGTAACTCTTGCACTTCCGGAACTGGTACCATAGGTAGAATACAACGTTGCGCCTGTCGCTGCGTAAGTCGCGGGAACAGTTATGTTTTCCAAAATATCACGATAAGAGCAGGAGACAAAAATAATCGGTTATATAAGTCCTTGCAAAAACAAATAATAGTAAAAAACGGAAAATAACACATTGAAACCGACAGTCACGAAAAATGACTGTCAAAGAAGACCAACAACCAACAATACTTAGTTTCTCTAAACACCAAGGGCCACTGGCCATACACGCTTCAACACATCAACAACCAACGGGATTTTTTATAATTGCCGTCCGACCCTGGTACATTCTTTTTAATGGAATAGCCCTGAGAGATAAAGGTTCAAAACTTCTTTGGTGCTTCTAGTTGTAGTAGAATAAAAATTAGGATAAGCAAGTCAGCAAGATTGTGTTAAATTATTTAAATGCCACCTTTATAAAATTTGCAAAAAGAGTCACCAGGTCAGCTAAAATAATTAAGATAGTCTGCACTACAAAAGTCAAAAAGTCTGAAAAGACCAGTTTTTGTCTGAATTTGCATGAATTTTTACTCGACATTCTTAATTTGTCTGAATAATTTTTAAAAATTCTTGACATAGTATGAATTTGTCTAATAAGGTTCTTGATTTTTCTTGACAAGTGTCTTGACAGTATGAACATTGTCTTAAAATTTCTCGACACTTCCTGTATCATCTGATAAGAGTCTGGATTAGTCTCGACCAATTCTTGACTGTCTTAAATTTGTCTCGATCTGTCTTGACATATTCTTGACATTCTTAATAATGTCTGAATATGTCTCGACATATTCTTGACATTCTAAATAATGTCTGAATATGTCTCGACACATTCTTGACAGTCTTAAATATGTCTTGACACTATCTCAACAGTATAAATTTCGCCTGAAATGTGAACAGACTTATTCTGCACTGTTTATGACATTCTATTGCTGTTATATACTCCTTTTTATTATGGCTAAACTAAACTTTGAAGAATCAAGGATTAATTTGGTATATATAGTAAGATACCCTTTTGGTGCAACTAAGTTGTAATACCCTGAATAATCCCCCATGTAGTTTAATTTTGATTTATTTTTATTAAACATTTAAGTAATTGTTTTCACTTGGAATGTAAGTAGAAGGTATTGACAAACAGCATTTAGATTTTTGCCGTTCGCAAAACTGCCAGTCAAATTTGCTTTACTAAAATAGGTGTCTTGTATCTCTTTTGGACCCCACAATTCATCTTTTGGGTTTGTGTAGTTAAAAAAAGGGGGGGGGGGGGGGGCTTTCGTTTAGGTCAAAGAATTTGTTCCCATCTTGATTCAAAACCCTTATTCATTTTTTAGAACAACCCAAAAACATTTTTTATTTTGAGTGTTGAATTTTATAATTTTTTATCAAAAATAAATATTAATAAATAATAAAAAAACTCCTTCCTGAAAAGAAAAAAATGTTTAGGTCTATTATGCATGTCTGTTTGAGAACCATTTCTATAGAAATCATTGATGGGACCCATTATAAATACATTTTTTTATTATTCCTGGAGTAGATAATAATTTTCTTTTAATCTTTGGGAATTATTCAATTTGTTTTTATGTTAAAATAATTAACTTCATAATTTTGATGAAGAAAATCCATTTCAATTCAATTTTTTTTCATCAAAATGATGATTTTCATTTTCATCTATCAACAAACTTTTTAAATTGTAGTGGCATGGTCGGTCAACTGATAAGTTGTATGGCTGATTACAGGTAAAGCAATAACTTCTATTTGACAGTTGCGTGTACTCTGGGGTGTGGAATACCTTAATTGTATGGGGAACATCCTGTCCATGTGTAATACTTAATATATTCCAACAGATGACATTACACAAATTTTTCTTCTGTTAAATGAATGATTTGTATATCATCATAATTTGCTATTTATATAAACCACATTTTGGTATAATAATTATTTACCATATCAACATTGAATATTATGAATGTACATGTAGAATGAAATATGTCTACAGTATGATTGGTTTGAATCATCTAATTTATAAGCTTTAGGAATCAAAATTTGTAATTATTTAAAAACCCACATTGAAATTGTTTTATATCAAAACAACCACATTTGAATTATTTTATACTTTAGATTTCATAGCCATATTTGAATTTGTAAAAATATTTATAGGTAAACGGACAGAAAGTCACAGGACAAAAAGTCACAGGACATAAAGTCACAAATTTGATAGGACAAAAAGTCACAGGACAAAAAGTCACAAATAGTTTGTTGACAATTGTTTGAATATGTAAGAGAAAGATCTTGAAATATTTTCTTTTTATTACATATATTCATTTTTAAGTTTAGGAAATTGTTCATAAGCCTTGATAAATGAAAATTTATTAAATTTTAATCGTGCAAAGGATATATTTCTTGGCACCATGAAGCCATTTAAGGATCAAGCCTCTTTGACATTTTGTTTTCATAGCAATTATTTGATCATTATTAATATTTATTGCATAAATTTTAATTACAAAGTTGCTTTATAAATAATAATTTAAGAAAAAAAACAAAATATTTCTTTTTAAATTAGTTTTTTCTTGTTCAAAGAAAAATAATCTCAAAACTGAATTGTGACTTTTTGTCCTGTGACTTTTTGTCCGTGACTTTTTGTCCTGTGACTTTCTGTCCTACATTCTATTTATATACCCAAATTTTCAATTATTTTACATGCCCAACTTTTATTTTTGTTGTAAAGAAGTGTAACTTGAAACAACAGTATATCATATAAAGAGAAATAAAGATTAAAATTATATCATGAATATTGGTCATGATTTGTAAAACTCAGAACTGTCAAGTAAATTTAAGACACGATTCAAAATGTTCAGAATATGTCAAGCCATACTGAGAAAAAATAAGAATGTCGAGAAATTTCAAGACAGTATTCAAATGTCAAGAATTTGTCAAGAAATTTTAAGACCATATTCAGAATGTCGAGAATATGTCGAGTAAATTTCATACAAATTTAATATAAATGAGAATTTGTCAAGAAAAATTAAGACACAAGTCATACTTTTGGAGAATGTCGAGTAAAAGTTCATGCAAATTAAGACAAAAACTGGTCTTTTCAGACTTTTAGACTTTTGTAGTGCTGGTAAATACATTTTTATTGATTTTTTTTTCTACTTATGAAAAGTACAATGAAACCTACGTAAAGAAACCCTTTACAACTTAATATTGTGTTCCTATTCATTTGGTGTTTTGTTTACAAGCTAAAGAATTTATGTGTCTTCCATGATATTGGAAACAATAAACTTCCGTAAATTAATACTATTTGGTTATTGATAATTAACCTGCTGGATGTTAAGTTGCCATTCATTAAACAATTATTCAACGTGAAGAGCCCATCAAATAATCTTTTTACATTCTATCTTCACAAGATTTGTTTCAACAACAAGCTGGTTTTTATAGAATTATGGAATTCAAAATTTGTTAATTGTTTATACATGTTCATGATTAATTTTGAGCAAGTTCATATGGCTATGATGTAAAGAAATTTTGATGTTTTAATTTCCATGGTTGCACCATCACTATGCAGTTTTTCAACATTTTCATTTCGATAGTAATATAATCATCACAGGCAGTCTCAAATCTCCCCCTTGGTTTAATGTCATTACTTATACCTATAATCATCACAGGCAGTCTCAAATTCATTGAGAAATATGTGAGCATTTCCTAAATTACTGTAGGCCCTTCTCTCTGCAGACTTGTCTCCAAACTCTTTAGCAATGGACAATCTCTGAAATATAAAAAGTTTGCTAAAAAATGAAATTAATTTAGTTAACTGACTCAATCTCTAATATCTTTTATTAGATATAAGAAGATGTGGTATGAGTGCCAATGACACAACTCTCCATCCAAGTCACAATATGTAAAAGTAAACCATTATAGGTCAATTGTTTATTTGTTGTTGGGTTTCTGTATCATTGATGTAAAACCCACATCACTCTTTATTCACAATTTATGATTATGTTGTATAGAGGTAATTTTTTTTTGGGGGGGGGGGGGGGTTAAAAATTTCACCATTTTTATTTTGGCGAATTCTTCATTCCCAATTAAATAGCTTGGCAGGTACTGAATTGGTTCAATTAGTTGCAGTTTGAAAGTTAAAAATTGACAGGAAGAAAACAGTGAAACATATCATTGCTGTAGTTCTGTATAGATACAAGAAATTTTAAATCTGTTCAATCATTTCTTATTTTTAAATCAATTTAAGGAACTATGTAGTGAGTGCCCATTTTATTACAGTTAACAGAACCTAATATTCAAAGTTGTACACAAAACCATTTTTGTTTATTTGTTTGTGTATATATTAACAAGAATGTGTCCATAGTACACGGATGCCCACTAGCACTATCATTTATTATGTTCAGTGAACCATGAAATTGAAGTCAAAACTCTTATTTGGCATTACAATTAGAAAGATCATATCATAGGGAACATTTGTACTTAGTTTCAAATTGATTGGTCTTCAACTTCATCAAAAACTACTTTGACCAATAACTTTAACCTGAAGCTAGACAGACGAACGAACAAATGGACAAACAGACCAAAAAACATAATGCCCCTAGGTGTGGCATAAAAAACAATAATACAAAACATACTTACTTCTTCGTGGTAACGGATTGCTAATTTAAAGTTACCCAGCAAGTAATGTGTGTTACCAAGGTTACCACACGCTCGACCTTGAGCAGCTTTATCACTAAGTTCTTTAACTAATCGTAGGTTTTCTCTGAAAAAGACTTACATTAATTGAACTTTACCTTGAAATTACCATTTAACACAAAACATGTAGTTGATACATAACACATAAAGTTTAGTTGAGATGTATATATATATAAATACGACTGAACCAGTGACAACTCTACGACAGATTTTATCCACAGGATCACCAGTGATGGTGATACAGGGCTGAAAACACATTCTGTATATATAATTTGTCTAAATAACAGCCCAACAATGTTAGATCTGTCCGCAAATTTTTGTTCTTCCCTCTCCGGGATTCAAACTCATGCTACTGAGATATTGTGGCACCAAATCGCCTTGCATTATGCCCGGCGCGCTAGACCACTTGACCACCTAGGCTCAACAAAATCAAGCTTTCGGTGGCCGGGTGTTACCTTTCCTCGTCAGTTTTTATCTAGCATTCGTAACACAGTACATGATATATAAGGCATGAAGATGTAATATAACAGATCAGCTGAATTATCTATTGTAGCGGATATATATATATATATATAAATATATATATGAACAACAGCTTTTCACAAAAGTATTTTTTACTCACATCAACATCTGGAGACTATTTTGATGTGGGCGTAAAGCAAGCATTGATCAATCAATACATTGTGTGGCCAAATATCTTTTTTGGTATGCATGTTTCTAATATCTAGATATAAGTGACTAGATCTGAAAGTAAGGCTAATTTAGCTGTTTTTCTCTTTAAGGCAATAGTTTTGAAAGTAAACGGAAAACATGTAAGAAAAAAATAAATAAAAATATCAATATCTTAATTAGAGATAAATTTAGTTAAAACTCTAATTTGGCATTAAAATTAGAATGATCATATCATAGGGAACATGTGTACTAAGTTTCAAGTTGATTGGACATCAACTTCATCAAAAAATACCTTGACTAAAAACTTTAACCTGAAGAGAGACAGACGGACGGACGGACGAACAAACGGACGAAGGGACGCACGAACAGACGTACAGACCGAAAAAAAACATAATGCCCATAAATGAGGCATAAAAATAACATCACATCATTGGTTGAATATCATTGTTTAGTACGTTGTTAGCCAATCATAATGTTTTGGTGTACGCTTTTGAAATATTACCAAGAATGCATTCAATTCTGTAACTGCATCTAATTTTACCGATTGTGTTCAATTTCCAATTATGACATTTTGTCTTAGTGTGAGTTGGCATGTGGGTGATGGATGTATAGCAGGATGCTTAACCTGTCAATGCAACTGGTCTTGCGATTCCCTCATTTTATGTTTTTGTAACAATGATTTGTCTCTTCCTAATTGATTTACGAGATTTGAACATGGGTAAACTACTGTAGATCTAATTTACCATATTTGTATTCTGAAGGGTCAAAGCTATTTGTATAAGCACAGTAAATGACTACTTGATTTGTATAATAGAATTAGTTTACTGGGTCACATCTAGGTTAGAATCCTACACATGTCTATGGTCACAATTGAGAAAAAAATAAAAGTCAAAATTCATTTACTCATAATATTCAGCAGCTTTTTGTAAGGCTTCCTTGACCTCTAGAGGGAATTCCCCTGGATCTTGGTCTCCACACTTCCCCATATGTTTGCCTTTTGCATGATAAACATTACCAAGGTTATACAAAGCCCTCGCTTCTCCTACCTGTAATAAGATAAACATTACCAAGGTTATACAAAGCCCTCGCTTCTCCTATCTGTAATAAGATAGATAAACATTACCAAGGTTATACAAAGCCCTCGCTTCTATCTGTAATAAGATAAACATTACCAAGGTTATACAAAGCCCTCACTTGTCCTATCTGTAATAAGATAAACATTACCAAGGTTATACAAAGCCCTTCCTTCTCCTATCTGTAATAAGATAAACATTACCAAGGTTATACAAAGCCCTCACTTGTCCTATCTGTAATAAGATAAACATTACCAAGGTTATACAAAGCCCTCACTTGTCCTATCTGTAATAAGATAAACATTACCAAAGTTATACAAAGCCCTCACTTGTCCTATCTGTAATAAGATAAACATTACCAAGGTTATACAAAGCCCTCGCTTGTCCTATCTGTAATAAGATAAACATTACCAAGGTTATACAAAGCCCTCGCTTGTCCTATCTGTAATAAGATAAACATTACCAAGGTTATACAAAGCCCTCGCTTGTCCTATCTGTAATAAGATAAACATTACCAAGGTTATACAAAGCCCTCGCTTGTCCTATCTGTAATAAGATAAACATTACCAAGGTTATACAAAGCCCTCGCTTGTCCTATCTGTAATAAGATAAACATTACCAAGGTTATACAAAGCCCTCGCTTGTCCTATCTGTAATAAGATAAACATTACCAAGGTTATACAAAGCCCTCGCTTGTCCTATCTGTAATAAGATAAACATTACCAAGGTTATACAAAGCCCTCGCTTGTCCTACCTGTAAAGAAATTAACATTCCTTTGATTAAACAAAGCCATTGTTTCTCCTTTTTATAGACATAATGAGATTTTCACCATTCCTGCTGCTAGTTAACTGTTACTCCATGGCTGTATCACCAGCCAAGTTGCTTACAGTCTTTTGGTCATATAAAAGCTTCTGTCCAAATTTCATAAAATCCCCTGATGTTGGACAAAGTTATTGATGACTAAAAAACTTAAACCACAGACCGAATCTGAATGTTAAAACTATAAAAAATAAACTGCTTCGCTGAGCGCAGCTGGATACGCCCACAAAGGTCCAACCCTGAACAGTTGGGACAAAAATGGACACAATATTCAAGCTTGATACAGGTCTGAATTTGGATTGTATTAAATATTTAACATATTATAGGTTTCTGAATAAATGTAGTCAAAGAACTTGAAATTGGTTATATGAATTGAATTTATATTCAATTAAAGATTTCTTGCTGTTGTGCAATACACTGTGCTGTTGCGCAATACTTAGTAAATCTGTTGTCAGACTATAAACAATTAAAGTTCAATTAATTCTCAATGTCATATCAAAAATTTATGAAAATGTAAAGGGAGCTTACATCAATAGATATAGTAATTCACCAAAGTTTCATGAGAATTTCTGACAGCATTTTTGAGTTATTGTCCAAAAACTGGAAAATCCCCCCTTTTTTAATGAATAAAACCCCATAACTCAGAAATGTAAAATGTAAAACTTATAAAATTCTAAACAGAGCTTACATCAATAGATATAAACAATTCAGCAAAGTTTCATAAGAACTGCTGAAAGCATTTTTGATTTTTTGTCTGAAAACTGGAAAATCTCCCTTTTTTTAATGAATAAAACCCTGTAACTCGGAAATGTAAAATCTAAAATATATAAAAATCAAAAGGGAGCTCACGTCAATAGATATAAACAATTCACAAGGTTTTATGCAAATTGGTTAAAGCGTTTTTGAGTTAATGTCCGACATGTTGACGACGTACAGCCAGACGGACGGACAGACAGACAACGGTATACCATAATACGTCCCGTAAACGGGCGTATAAAAATTCAAAGTCCATTTATCAGTTAATTCCAAAAAAACACCAAAATTTTCTATGGATTTAGTATTTTGGTTGTAAACAAGCTTCCTTCCAAATCTAATGAAATTCCATGAAGGTTTGACAAAGTTATTGATGTGTAAATAAACTTTAACGTGAAGCCGATGTCAGAAACTAGGCTGTGTCTTGCTTTCCCAATGCAGCCTGACAAAAATCACACATCAAGAATTTTCGCCTTTTTAACTTTGAATGAGAATTGATTGATAATTGTCATCCAATCAGATCGATTGATACTAAAACATTGCATGAGAATGATCATTTTTAAGTTATTACATGTCTGTTATAGCAAGTGATGTCTTCATTAGGCTTACCTTATCTGAAAGCTGTCTGGATATTTCTAAGTGCCTGTTGCAGCAGGCGATAGCTTCATCAAACTTTTGTAGAACTTTGAGCGTGTTGCCTAAATTGCCACTGGCTTTGGCCTCACCAATCATATCTCCTAAGGTTCTAAAAATAAAGAGCCCTTCAGTTGATTCAAAATAAACAAGCATTCTGTGAGTATTGTATGGCAATACATAGTCCCCTACCAGTTAAAAATTCATTGAAATGGAATGAAATTTTGACTTGATCTATAACTTGTCATGGTGTAAACTACATAAAATAACAAACAAACCTACCACTAAATTCTTCAAACAATTAACTAAAGGAAATCCAAAATGTCATTTATCTTAATACAATGTCTTCAACAATTCTTTTAAAAAATGAGTTATTTCTCTTTGAACAGAAATCTAGTAATGAATAAGAATTTCATCAAAAATTAAATTCTAGGGAAAGGGCTTTAACTGAACAGGGAGAAAAGCTAAAACCGTGAAAATTGAACTTGACCTGTAACTTGTCATGATAAAACAATACACCACATATCAAATCAATATCTTCAAGCATTTAGAAAAAAAAGTCTGGAAAACTGATTTGTTGGACTGACGGATGGACAGATAGAAGGACAGACAGACAGACAGAGTGGAAACCTAAAGTCCCCTTGGACTTCGTCAGTAGGGGACTAATAAATGGGAATGTGTCCACACATGATGCCTGGATTGCATATAACAATATAAAGGCATCACTCCAGACCGTACAAGTGACGCCACCCAAAATCGAACTTGATCTGTGTGATTTGTAGTATAAAATTGTGTATAAGTTTCATAACATTTGGTTAAGGCAAACTAAAGTTAGAGAATAAAAACAAATTGTGAGACGTCTGTATAGACAGACAATGATTTTATTTATTTTCAAACTTAATGCCCTTCCTGGTGACGGTAGGGGCATAAAAATTGGGTCTTTAGCATAACATTTTCAAAATTATCTAACTTTTTCCATTTTTCAACTATTATTATCTGATATAAATTATAGAACAACACTAATCATGGCAGAATCACATCTAAAGATTCAAAATTACTTTTTTTTTCTAGCTATCTTCTTTTCTTTCTTCTTGCTTTCTCTTTTTATGGTTTGATTGCATACTTCTAACATGCATATTTAAAATGACATACTTTTTATGGAAAACTGAGTATTTTTTGCTGAAGAACCATTTACTAAATAATTATGTTGGTGATTTCTAAATATAAATGTTACCTTGACCTATAATGGTTTACTTTTATAAATTGTAACTTGGATGGAGAGTTGTCTCATTGGCACTCATACCACATCTTCCTATATCTATTATCTTTAGGCCATCCATTTTTAACAATATGTACCCTTACAAGGGCTTATTTTCAGAAAACTCTTTAAGCATCACAGGTTACTCAAAAAGATTTAAATATCCTCATTTGACAGACTTAATGTGATCAATCTTTTCAATTCTAATCAAATATGATCACAGAAATGGGACAAGGATATGTGTAGTTCAATCACCTAAATGTGCCTACGTAAATTGTACGACGTATCTACCAAATTATACACTCTCTAATGTGCCTACATTGTAAGATGTATCTAACATATTATACACTTGTCATTGTTTTTATCTGCACATTTCTTGACAAGTTTTCATTGGTTCATTGATTGTTGCATGCATAATGTAAGGTTTTGAACTTACTGGTACATAAATGACAATTTGGCTTGATACAGGACCTTAAAGTTTCCTTGTGTTCCCTAAAATTCTCTTATAAGTGTAATATTACTATTTCTAGTCACAAGGTCTACAGGGTTAGTGTGAGCTATTGTCCTCACTTGATGACCGTTGTCCATTTGTCTGAAACTCTTCTCAAATTCATCTTCTCCTACAAAATAAACTTTTCACCTTCGCTTACCTGGCTAAAGTGAGATCTAATTTGTGGTAATCCAGTGCCTTGCCATACTCCTGACTTACCTGGCCAAAGTGAGATCTAATTTGTGATAATCCAGTGCCTTGCCATACTCCTGGAGGTAGAAATAAGCATTGCCAAGCTGACTGTATATGGCACTGAGAGTTTTCAAATCATCTGTCCCTGCCTGGACAGCTGCTTCGAAAAACTGGACCCCTGTCTGACAGTCTCCAGCCTTACATAGCCTCTCTCCCTCCAGGGCTAGTTCCATACAGGAACAGTCCATCTATAAAAGAGGAATTTGTAAAGATAAACATTTATAATTACTTACATCCATTTCATTTGGTGTCTGGTGGATAGATGTCTCATTGGCAATCATACCACATCTCCTTATTTCTATATATATAACAAACTTAAGGGAAATACATATTACTTTGTTGTCTAAAAGCAAAAGGATGAATTTTTTCAGGGCTAGTTTCTCATATATACAGAAATTGGAACAAAGAACAAATGAAAGGGTTGCAAAAAATGATTCTGTGAATTGTATATAATGAAAATTTAAAAAAAATACTGTAAGTTCAGAAATTATTGCGAGGTTTTTTATAAAGCGAATAATGCGACTAGGCAAGTATTGCAATAGTAAGAACTCGCATTCTGACATTTGATGCATATATCTGTATGTAGCTTTTCCTGAAATCGCAAAAATTAATCTTGCATTTTATATGACCATTCTTAAAATATCGCAATAATTAGTGCATGCAATGATATCTGTATATGGAAATATAAAATGGGAAAATAGGAAAAAAATATTTCAACAACTCAGTACAGGAAAGTTGAGAAAAATTTGTATGGGAACAAAAGGAGAATTGTGTTTCTCCAATATCTTTGTCCTACATTAAATTTTGTGTTTATAAACTGATAAAGGCTACATGAAGCCTGAATGGTTAATCTGGTAAACATAATTACCCAGATTGATAATCAAGTTTACCAGTAATTCAAGGGGAAAATGATAAACAAAATCTTCAAAGCCTCCAGCCCATCCCTTTGGTTCACAGGTATTGTCAGTTTAAGTTATTCAACATTAAGAGAGGCTTTAAGCTAGTTATAAAAACCATGCAGGTTTAATCCACCATTTTCTACATAGGAAAATGCCTGTACAAAGTCAGGAATATGACAGTTGTTATCTATTCTTTTGATGTGTTTGAGCTTTTGATTATGCCATTTGCTTGGGAACTTTCAGTTTAAAATTTTCTAGTAGTTCGGTATTTTTGTTATTTTATTTTTCATCACTTAAGGGACTAAGTAAACTATAAGGGGTAAATATTTGGTTTCAGATATATTGGCAATTTGGTAGATTGAAAAAATTACATTTGAAAGTTCATCTTATCTTTAACTTCCAGGTTGGACGTTGTATTTAAAAAACCAACTCAGAGAACTAACAATAAAAGACCTCTTGTAGGTCTTGGTTCTTGGTGTATTGCTAGGTTGGTGTCTTACTGAAGAATACTCCTATTTGTTCATAAGTAAAAAAAGAGTTTAAATGTCAGTAAACTTTTCTATTTCAGATTAAAAATGTCCACAGATAAAAAACTATCAGTTAATTACTACAAGTACCTCTGTCAAAAGATTGGATCTGAGGAGAATGTAAAAGTCAGGAGATTAACTTACGTAATAAGTGACATTGGAACGATGGCCTGTATAACTAGTGGTAGTAAAGGTGAAGGACTTAATCTAAGTGGCAGTGATTTTGATATGATGTTTGTTGATCCTAGATTTAAAGTTTATGAGTCGGATAGACATATAGAGAGGTTAGTTTCAATCATGATAACATTCCTTTGATTATGGATACAGAAGATACTTCACCCTGTTTCACGCTACTACGTCTTTTCAATAATATTTATGAGGAAGATACTGAACTCAAACAAATGGTAGAAGATAACTCTCAGGGAAGTCTACTTTCAAATGAACTATACAAAATGTCTTGTATGAATATGTATTCAGGTATATCATTAGCATTAATTAACAAATTTCATGGGCCTTGTTTATTAGACGAAAATGATCTATATGATGTTGCATACTGCCTAAAATGTGACCACTGGATATCTCAAGCCAAATCATGGATATACAGACCACGTAAAACATGGCCACCAGTGGACATTATTTCAAAAATAACCTCATGTGGTGTATTATTTGTTCCAATTGGCTTGAAAGGATCCTGCAATGAAAATCTCCAGTGGAGAATTTCGTTTTCGGTAGCTGAAAAATTTCTCATATTTTCTTTCAGGCATACCCAGTTTTTATGCTATGCTTTATTGAAAATCTTGCTCAAAGAAATTGTGGATAAATGTGAGGATTTGAAAGGTTTACTGTGTTCCTACTTTCTAAAGACTTTAATGTTTTGGATATCAGAAGAATCAGACCCATCAATATGGAGACCAGACAATATCATACCATGCTTCATGGCTTGTTTAAAGAGACTACTGTACTGTGTTGAATATGAAACATTATTACATTATTTCATTCCTGACAATAACTTGTTTTATTCAAGATTCAATACTACAAACAAAGACAAATTGATTGGAATCCTGATTAATTTATATAAACAAGGAATTCAGTGTTTTAAATATTCACAAACTCTGAATGATTATAAAGGACTAACTTGTGAAGTCGAATCAATGAAAGGAAATTTTAGAATAATATCTGAAACACGACAATGGACTATACTTTCTAAGTATCATAGCCTGCTATATAACTTGCTACATCATTCTAAAACTGTTCTTTCCCGAGATATATTTACAATACATCTGGTCAGGGCACACCAGATTGTACCACAAAAGTCACAAAACCAACTCAGATCAAACAACAAACAGAAGTACTACAAGTACAAACGTGACCTCGGTCATCTGGTTATAGGAACACAATCAGATGCAATATCAGGATGGATGATGTTAGCTTCATTCTTCTATAATCATAGAAATTACTTGATATCATTAGATATTATATATTATGCTTTAAGCAAATGCACTGATGATAAAGAACTTGATCCAGTCAAAGACATCCAGTTATATCAAAACCAAAAATCTGTGTTAAATTTCATGGATCAAGGCAACTGTTTCACAGCAATGAAATTAATAACAGTCAGATGGGTTAGGTTTATATGTTCAAATTCATCACTTTTTCCAAAAGATTTATATTTAATTCAACAACTACTCTTGATTAACTCATCTTTTCCTGATCTTGGTCCTCCTGTATATTTTGCACATGTTCTGAGATGCCTTTGTTATCTCCATCTAAATGACTTTACATCATGTATACAAACGGCACAGCTGTCATCAAGGATTGTAAGCAATCTTTATAATAACAATGACTTAAATGACATCTCCTTGCTTGAACAAAAAAAGAATCTATTTTTTCCCAGACAACTGATATAGCTTTGCTGATGATGGATGATACAAGTAAAGCTACAAGACTGTGCTAGTGTCCTAAGTTAATATGAATGATATTAATTCAACCAGTGCAACATCAAGGCTTCCCATTATTGACTGAATTCATTCAGCATATCAAAGATGTCAAGTTAAATTATTCAACAGACAAGATTTCATTAAACATTATCACATTTTATACTGAATTCATTCAGTCTATCAAAGATGTAAAGTTATTCAACAGACAAGATTTCATTATTACATTTTATACTGAATTCATTCAGCCTATCAAAGATGTCAAGTTATTCAACAGACAAGATTTCATTATTACATTTTATACTGAATTCATTCAGCCTATCAAAGATGTCAAGTTATTCAACAGACAAGATTTCATTATCACATTTTATACTGAATTCATTCAGCCTATCAAAGATGTCAAGTTATTCAACAGACAAGATTTCATTAAATATTTTATACTGAATTCATTCAGCCTATCAAAGATGTCAAGTTATTCAACAGACAAGATTTCATTATCACATTTTATATCCAATTCATTCAGCCTATCAAAGATGTCAAGTTATTCAACAGACAAGATTTCATTAAACATTTTATACTGAATTCATTCAGCCTATCAAAGATGTCAAGTTATTCAACAGACAAGATTTCATTATCACATTTTATACTGAATTCATTCAGCCTATCAAAGATGTCAAGTTATTCAACAGACAAGATTTCATTATCACATTTTATACTGAATTCATTCAGCCTATCAAAGATGTCAAGTTATTCAACAGACAAGATTTCATTAAACATTTTATACTGAATTCATTCAGCCTATCAAAGATGTCAAGTTATTCAACAGACAAGATTTCATTATCACATTTCATACTGAATTCATTCAGCCTATCAAAGATGTCAAGTTATTCAACAGACAAGATTTCATTATCACATTTTATACTGAATTCATTCAGCCTATCAAAGATGTCAAGTTATTCAACAGACAAGATTTCATTTAACATTTTATACTGAATTCATTCAGCCTATCAAAGATGTCAAGTTATTCAACAGACAAGATTTCATTATCACATTTTATACTGAATTCATTCAGCCTATCAAAGATGTCAAGTTATTCAACAGACAAGATTTCATTATCACATTTTATACTGAATTCATTCAGCCTATCAAAGATGTCAAGTTATTCAACAGACAAGATTTCATTATCACATTTTATACTGAATTCATTCAGCTTATCAAAGATGTCAAGTTATTCAACAGACAAGATTTCATTAAACATTTTATACTGAATTCATTCAGCCTATCAAAGATGTCAAGTTATTCAACAGACAAGATTTCATTAAACATTTTATACTGAATTCATTCAGCCTATCAAAGATGTCAAGTTATTCAACAGACAAGATTTCATTAAACATTTTATACTGAATTCATTCAGCCTATCAAAGATGTCAAGTTATTCAACAGACAAGATTTCATTATCACATTTTATACTGAATTCATTTAGCCTATCAAAGATGTCAAGTTATTCAACAGACAAGATTTCATTAAACATTTTATACTGAATTCATTCAACCTATCAAAGATGTCAAGTTATTCAACAGACAAGATTTCATTATCACATTTTATACTGAATTCATTCAGCCTATCAAAGATGTCAAGTTATTCAACAGACAAGATTTCATTATTACATTTTATACTGAATTCATTCAGCCTATCAAAGATGTCAAGTTATTCAACAGACAAGATTTCATTATCACATTTTATACTGAATTCATTCAGCCTATCAAAGATGTCAAGTTATTCAACAGACAAGATTTCATTATCACATTTTATACTGAATTCATTCAGC